CAGCTGGTGCAAAAAGACATCGCTTTTTTCTGCAAGAGAGACCGAGACAGAGAATAAAACAAGAGGATATAATGTGGACCAGATGAACAAAAAGTTGCTGCTAATCCAGTTCCCACAGACTGCAACAGGCCAAAAATAAACGAGCAGCAGCTTTGAGAGCAAGAATTGCATATGTGGACCTTTCCAACCTTATGCCTTATGAGTCATGTTTAATGCTCCAGTTACAGATTAAAATGGACAAAATTGGCTGTTGGGGTAAAACTTCATGCTCAGTTCCAGACAATTAGCATCAAGTACATATTTTAGCTGACTAGACTTTGACTAACATTAGTAATTTTTGGCAGAGGTTTCTGGATTCTGAGGTATCACTGCTGTATCACGTCTCCAAGTTGTTCTGTAACTTTTGACTATATTTCTTGATTTAGTTTAGATTTTGTTTCACCTGACGTTCCGATTCCAGCTCCTTTTTGGGGTGAAATCGGAAAAGGATGTAAGGATGTGGAGGAGCCCTGGGGGGACAAAAGTGTGAAACTGAAAGTTATTTTATCTTAGATGTAAATATGCACAAAATCCTCAACACAGCAATAACAGTTATGTCATATGCTAACTGGACAATCCACAAACCTACCGTCGTTCCTGTTTGTTTTCTATCAGCCTTTCTGTTGCCACCATCTCCAGAACTCTGAGACATGAGAAGGAATGTGTTAAACTAAAGTGTTGATTCACTTTAATTGAGATGATTACAGAAAAACTCACTTCATCTGAGTAATCGTCATAGTCACAGAAGCCCTGAAATGCCTGAGGGTCTCCCACGAGTCTTAGCTCTCCAATTTCACCCTTTAAAGACACAAACAACTTGTAAGCAATCAAGTAAGACAATAGAAGCATGAATTTGTAAAGGTTTAGTTAAATTCATGAAGAGAGTGCCATAGAGACTGGACAGACTCTCGACAGATCACTGGAACGGGAGACAGAGGCAAAAAGACGTGGACTCTCTTGTTGGAAAACTGTGGATTGGGGAACAAGGTGTGTCTCCATGGAAACCTTCATCAGAGATCTTGGTTCCAGGAACACGAGGCAAGTCCACCTCGGCATCCTCGCCAAAGAACTCTGAGAACTTATGTAACACGAGTCTGAGGTGGACCTCCAACAGGCTGAGAAGTGGTTCCTGAGAACAGTGCAGGAGAGATTGATCGTAGAACAGGGGATGAAGACGATGAAGGATGTCCTGAGAGCTCCACAGACACAGCTCTGCTGCTGCTGTGGATTCGGAAAACCTTTGCAACAGCTGCTGCTCCTGCAGACAAAGGATCTGCTGCTGCATCACTAGAGAAACCAGCACTCTTGAATGCCAATATGAATATTGGTCTTGGGCGTGCTAAGGAGGCGTTGAGCAGGCCCTGTTGCTTTAGCTTCAAGCAGTAAGTAGTATCCTCTGAAAAGATGGGAAGTAGACTGTGGTCCTCTAAGAAGATGATGTAGAGAAGGCATCAACCAGACCCTCCTGACCAGTAGTTGAGGCTTCTGTCAGGCCTGTAGCACAGAAGTGGAGGCATCTCAACAAAAAAGCTATTTTCTGTGGGAGGCAGAGGAAGCAGAAGGCGCTGATACAAGTGGTGGAAGATGACAAGCTATAGGGTGTAACATCCTCTGGAAGCTCTTTGGACCAACTCCAGGTGAAGCCAGCACTCGCTTAAACCCACCAGTCCTGCTCTGCAGGATCCCTATGGGGACGGTGTGCTTGGCCCACAATTTGGCTGGATTCTTCTGTCAAGAAGTGTGTGGTAGAGATGAAGCCAAGATGCAGACAGCCACTGGAGGATGGCAATTAAAGGTTCAATAAAAAAGAAATCTTACAGAACTAGAAACAAGGTGAACATGACATGCAGTATGGACAGAGTAAGGTTTGATGCATTTGACAAAGAAGATAAAACTTGTGATACCAAGAAAATTGTAAGAGTTACTTATTTATTACCTTAAACTTGTCTGGATCAGCTCTTCCTGCTTGACCCACAAAGATCATACTTCCTGCGTCCAGGTCCATCGGATCGGGCGAGCGCTCAAACCTCAGCACTTCTGGATCCCTGTCACAATCTGAGTAGAAACTGACCTGCTCGTCATGCACAGACAGAGCTAAAACGTTCCAGTGGACATCAAGCCTTGGAACGTAAAAGCTGGCTGCCTCATACGAAGACTCAGAATCGGGGTCAGTGTAGAAGAACTGGATCTGTTGACGGTCAGACTGCACTGCAGTGAGCTTCACACCGATGTACATGAGTTTCTGGGCGCTGTCTGTGATGGAGAAGAGGACGGATGCAGCAGGAGAGGAAGCTTTGAGGTGGAAAATGATGGTGAAGTCCCTGTAGAAAGGACTGGGGACAAAGTCCTTGGCCAGTTGTCCTGATGACGACGCTGAGGTAAACCTGTAGGCAGTTCCTCTGGCCACTGTAACTTTGGCTATTGAATCCGGTGGAGGATCTCCAACCAGCTGGTGCAAAAAGACATCGCTTTTTTCTGCAAGAGAGACCGAGACAGAGAATAAAATTTTAGAGCGTGGATTAAACCTTTGAACCATTTCTGAAACTAAAATAAAAATGCATCCTCCTGGTGTCTAACACCACATCTACGGTGCTGGAGACCTACAGGTTTGCTCCAACACAACCGATTCAAAGGGTTGCATAAACTTATGAATTTTGGCCTTGTGCAGATTCATGGGAGACATGGAGTTTATGTGGGACTGGGAACGCTTTGGGATGTCTTTGGATACCTGATAAGGAAAACGATGTTTGGTTTTGCTCCTGGACTAGTTATCTGGATAGGTTCCAACAGAAATGGTACAAGGATTTTACCATTAAGCAGATGTGACACTACAATATTTCCATGACAAACTAAACTGTAATAAACGGCCATGATAATTAGGCATTTAAAAGAGCTCTATATTGTTTCCGCTTAATTTAGATGTAATTTTAAAGAAAACAGCTTTAAACCTAACCAATGAAATACCAGTGTAACAATCTTTTATTGCAAAACTGTGCAGCACTATTATTGTTTCTCTTGTGTTTAGCTTAGCGTGGACCCTTGTGGGATTTTGATCCAGCTGAATCTGGGGTGGGACAGGGTGGTCTTCTTCCCACTGAGGGCACCTGCTATCAGTTCATCTGCCATGAATGCAGCTGCTGCAGCTGTTGCAGCTCATGTGTGCAGAGAAAGTTCACTTCAGCAGGGTAACTTGCTTTTAATTAAGACCCTCCAGTTCTGCTCTAATTGAATAAATTTCCCCATCTGGAAGCTGTTTAAACCGACCACAGTTTCTCCACAAACATAAACTTAGAAGTAATAAAATGAACCTCCACTGAAAATGTCTGCCTAAAAATCAGCTTCAGAAAACAGATTTATTCATCCTACATCCTAGAATCTTACATTTTATTAAATAATCTGAATTATTATAAAGTGGATGTATTTTCTCTTCATTTTAGTTTATAAACCTTTAAAACATTGGATTGGTTGGTCCACCGGTGTGGTCAGAACCACCTGGAGCTTAAACTTTTCAAGACAGTGAAAAGTTTAAGACGATGGTGGAGTTTTGGAAACCATCTTTCACACTCCCTCCCTTCACCATCCTCAGCAACACTGTTTCTACACTCCTGGTTCCTGAAACACCATTTCTCTGGACTTGAGATAGATGTTGCCCAGCAGAGACTGGACTTCCTGCAACTCAAGTTGCACAATCTTCTACAGAAATGTTTTTTTTTTCTGCCATTTATTCAGTCTGTCCTGTTTGGTTTCAGGTCTCCAGAGAGAATCATCGGGGCTGACCATCCCTCCGTCTAGGACTTGTACATATTCAGTTTCACATGATTACTGCCATGTCATTTCCAGATATCTCAGAGAAATCCATCACTGGTTAACAAATTGAAGGAAAAGCCGCTTCCAGCAGTAGTAAGAGGCTCAGATGGACAGATGGGCAAACAGGAGGAGGAAGGAAATGCGTGTCAGATATCCATGGGAAAGTGGACCATGAGGGACCCTTGGATGGATGAAGCACACAGCCCCAAAAGAATAAGACCGACAGAAAACACTGGTAGAAACATGCCAGAAGGTCATTATGGAGCAAACAGGATTCCTCCAGAGGTTGAAGAGGGTCTTATATCCTCCCCAGGGGAGACATATAGATTTTTTTTTGCAGAAAATACAAAAATAACCAATGTTTAATAGGCAAAGATTTACAACTTAAACTTTAAATTGTTAAAAAGGTAAAACATAAATGGCTTCAGAAACACAAGTTAACTTTCTTCTTGACCTGAAATGTCTTTATTGCTAGAAAAAAAAAGAAGAAAAAACGCTTCATTGTGCACAATCTTTGTCAGTACTATTTCCAGCCAGGACTGAATTTCACCTAATTTTAAGCGCTGCCTGCCTTATTAGGCCAAACAAGCCCAGCGGAGGCATGCTAATCTGACCACATAATGATACACAGTGCTGAATCAAACCCTTCATCCTCAAATAACCTGAAACCAAATACTGGCGTTCACACAGTCAGCGAGAGAGACAAACGTTTTCGCTAAGCTGCCGCTCAGCTGTAGTTCTGTCCTCTGGGGACCAACCTGTTAACTAAGAGAGGCGAGACAGCTGCTGCACCTTCGATTGACCTCTGATCCACAGCCAGGACCTTAATCCTACCCTGAGAGATCAGAGCTATCCGATGCCGCCTGATAGGCAGTCACTGTGAAGTGTCATGGCTTAAAAATGTACTTTTAAGCCAAGAATTTGGTTGGAGCAGAGAAACGAGACGTCGAAGTATGTAATTAATGAAAAAGTTCTCACTGTTTCCAACAGGACAACTCTTTGCCTGCACCTTTAATATTATACGGTATGCAAAGGGCTCAAACTGCTTGAGGGCAAGAGTCCAGATTTGAATTAAATGGCTAAACTGCCTCAATAGCATGCAGTCAGGCTCTGCAGAGTTCAAAATATGAAGTAATATTAGAGCCAGGTGTGCTGAAGCAGAGCGGCATCTAAAAGTTGCAGCAGACCGGCATTGGAGGAATGCAGTTTGAGACCGATGGTGTAGAGTAAGGAGCAATCTTTGACCAATCCTCTGGTGCTCTTTTCTCCTGAGCTCACCTCAAAGGTGAAATTAAGTCTGTAGACTGAGATGGATATTGAAGAACGTTGACTTTGTGCCCTCAAACTCTAGTTTGTGTCAACTTGACTGTACATTTTGAATCACTATCCTGCTGTAAAACCCAACGATCACAGAGCCCATCAGATTTATTTTTCAGAAGTAGTTATATTTCAAGAAATATACCAAGACATGTATCGCCAACAAGATTCACAAAACCCTTGGAAGACAAACAATTTGACCACAACATAAATCAGAATGTCAAGATTTCTTTAGAAGCTTGTAAAGAGTACTGCCATTTCCCTCCCAGATTATCAGCAATTCATTTAGTATTAAAAAATACAATAACATAACCAGAAAGTGACTTTAACATGATTTTAAAATATAATCTCATTCTCATCTCGCCTCGTGAGCTCTAGATATCATTACACCCCCAGTAGGTATTCTAACGCATTCCTAAGTCTTAACATCATCATCAGTTAACTTAATTAGAAATACAAGAAGCAGAAAAGAGGAAAGAATTGTACCATCTTCTGAAACCAGCCTTGTTGAAAAGTGTAAGCATGTTCAGGAAATTGGGTTAATTTCTGAAAGATTGGATTTACTACCTCCTTTAACCTCCAACTCTAAGTAGTTTAATTTTGGATAAAAATACATTGGGGTCATTTTTAGAGACTTTAAATAGTTTCCAAGTATAACAAAGTGTTTGAGCTGAAATAAAAGCCTTTTTCAGACAGCATCCCACCATCTGTCTGCTCATCTCCTAGTTATCTGCCCGACACTCATTTAGCTGAAACCAGCAAGAGTTGCTGGTTTCAGAGGGTAGGCGACTGGCGCTGCCCTTTGACCCCTGGCAGAAACCACTAACTGCCTTGTGTCACACCAGCTACAAGGCTTCTCTTTTTTCCAACCTCGACATTGTTGCCCTCTTCCAAACCAAGGATACAATATAGGCAGTCTTTCCCAAGAAAAAACGATTTCCCACCCACAGCATCCATCATAAATGTCATCTGCAGCTTCCACCCCTACCCAAAAAAGTTTCTCCCACACCAGATGACCTCACTGACTTTCCCTCTCTGGGATTATGGAAAGAAGCAGATCCCAGCAACTGATTAGAAGTCAGCACAATGAAGAGGAGATAAAAACCAGAACAGAAACGGAGGACTGGGTTGGGGGAAAACCCGTCTGAGTAAACTGATACTGAGCAGAAAAAAACAAACACAAGTTTATTACTTATAATCCAATGAAAATCTAAATTATTGCACAAAAATGATAGAAAAAACCTGAATATGTGTCAAAACAAATCATGTACTGATTTCTAATGGGTTGCAACAATGTTTTGTTTGTTTTCATTCCCTATTTTGATTTTAATAGTTTAAATGCCTAATGAAGATGTTGCATTAACTCGCACACTGGAAACCTCTTTCCACTACCGCAGAAGTTATAGCATCCATGATCTTTGTTAAATCTGCCAGAGCAATTAAACGGCTCCAATCTCCAGGTAACCTGTTCAGATTCTGAGATTTTGGTAACTTTGCATATTTTCTTTGGTAATCAACTGGAGTTGCTGGTTTTTACTGGTTCTAAATGGTTATTACTCAAATTATTAGCTTTGGTCGACCCCACCAATTGTTAATCTTTACTCATGTTGTTATTAGCCACCTTAGCTGATAATTACTTTACTACTCTTCAAAGGAGGAAAATAAGTATTGAATGTGCTGCATGCTGGTCCGAATTGTCTCATTAATGCACGACTGCTACGAAATGTCCCAAAGAACTGGTGCATGGTGATTACTGAACATCCTGAAGGCGAGTCGATGCAAAATCTCATAACCTATTTACAAAACAACATTTGGTAAATGTCAGGCACTATTTAAGGCCAATGTGGTATGAAAATGCACAAAGTCGGCTGATTAATTGTTGCTTTGTCTGGGAGTTTTCTGTTTTTGAGGCTAGATATTGAAATATATTTAGTAGATTAAATATGTTCTGGGAAACAATGGTAATTATTATGATTACCTTCATGGCCTCATGTTTGATTTGATAAAAGTCTTTGCAACCCTCCTTATTCATGTTTGACTGGAAGACAGTGGTGAAGCATCCAGCACACCAATGTAATGACCATTGCACCATTTCTCTTTAAATATTCGCCCACTGATGGGAAAACGATCAGAGACCAGCTCTGATGAACATGCACTCATGAATTACAATGTTTGCAGATGACATTGTGATTTTTATGGATCAGGAGTGAGAAGGTCAGGAGACATGAGGAGAAAAGAATGAAAGTGGGTGACAGTAACACACAATACATGTGTGAGAACAAGCTCCAGGGAGTAAATGGTTTGAAGATGAATGAGTTTAAGTACTTGGGGTCAACTATCCAAAGCAATCGGGAAATGTCAGGAAAGATTTGTGACATGAGGCTGCAAGAGAAAAGGAAAGTTTACAAGTTGGCAGTGAGACCTGCCATGATATACAGCCGTATATATTTACAGCTATACATCATTAAGACTGGAGGAGGAGCTGAAGACGCTGAGTTTTCACTAAGATTTAGACAACGGACAGCTCCGGTTTAGTAATTTGAGAAAAACTTTGAAGTTGAGGTGGTTTGGGGACAAATTTAGCAAAAGTTGATAAATAAGAGAGAGAAGAAAAAGAGGAAGACCTGAACTCCTAGATTTCTTCCCCATTTTGATCAATTTAAGTTGATTCTTTGCATGTGTTGAGTTTAAAACCCATAAAACTAAATTGAAGCACAGCTGTATTTCTGTTCCCTTTCTGCACAATGCAAAGCAACATCCAAAACACCTTTCCCTGTAAATTTACAAGCCCGTTGGCTTTCTAGAGCAAAATGTCCCAATTATTTTTTACTTCACAAGATAGAAAAAGTTGTCTAAACATGAACCTGGAACATCTGTCCATTAAATTTGGGACATTTGTACAAACTGTTCCTATGGGAAAGCATACTGACAGTTTTATGGAGCACAGTTCAAAGGTTAACCCTGAAAATTAGCCGACAACCCCGCACTGCTAAATTTATGAAGACACTAAAACACAAAAAAAGAGTTGTTTTTTTTGCATTACAAAAGAATATAAGCTTTTTAATTATTTCTTTACAATACGACTTATTTGAAGCATAAATAAGGATTATGATTATCTTAAGTAACCAGAATCGCTGTAAATGAGATGTTAGGTAACTAAGAAATGTCAAACAATTTTATACTATTGTACTATTTCATTTTGTTTCATTCTTTCGGACACAAATAAAAAAAGTGATTTGCATCACTAAACTGCAACTATTAACTACATTTACTGATTTTTTGATATTAATCGATGCTAAAATAGTACAAATAATCCTGACAATATGGACAGTTTAGTTTTTTTTAAAGATCATTAATTGGAATTTTTCGTAACAATAAATCCTCTCAATTTTTAACATTTTAGCTGTAATTACATTACAGTTTCATTAATATGTTGCCGTTTTGGATATTTTGTTGCAGATAAAAAGGGAAAATATCAATTAGGAAAATCTGACATGATTTAAAACGTGTCAAACTCGAGGCCTGGGGGCCAAATCTGGCCCTCAGTTGCTTTTTATGCGGCCCTCTAGACTCCAGACTCCAAATTACATAAATCAGCCCCTTCAGTTTAATGCACAACTCAGTTTATTATATCTATACACAAAAAAAATGGTTTAAGTGACTACTAACTCCGACCTGCAGGTGGCAGTATTTCTTACTTTTACGATACTGCTGCCTCAGCCTTACTTGAGGTCAAGTGATTGATATGGCGAGTACCAAATATTGTAAAATTCAATATTATTTACTTGTAAGAATGCTGGGACAACTATTTATTAATATTTGAACAGTTTGTTAATGGGTTTTATCAACATGGCCCAAAATAAAAATGAATTTGACATCCCTGATTTAAAATATAAGATATTAACTTAAGTTGCTTCATGATGGACACATCTAGCCAAAACGTGTAAACATTTACGACAACAGACACAAACAACCAGATCTGAAATGTATCGGCACTCAGGATACATTTCAATCCACCGGGTTACCTTTCCTGCTACTAACAGCTGCACACCCAGGACTCTCGTACTCCTGCTCTGTTTCCGGCAGGTAGCGACAGTCCACCGGGAGACGCCCGTTTTCCAGGGACGCCCAGCAGCTGTCCTGCAGCACCTGGCAGAAGCCGCGACAGGGAAGAGGTGCAGCGGGAATCGGGCACCGGGGTGCCAGCAGGAGGCAGAGGAACCGCTCTGCACCACGGTGACACCCTGCCCTCACAAGCCACACCCACTCCCGCAGGACAACCTCCACCTCCTCCACGGAAGTGTGGTTGAAAAAGTTTGGCAGCGAGAAAACGTTTGGCTGTTTGCATATCGGCCAATCAGAGGGGACAGGGAAGCAAGGTGAAGTGGAAGTGGTGTCAACGCTAGAAATCTCTGCACCGGACCAAGTCCGATCCCCTTCCCCAACCCCCTGCTCCACCCTCGCCCCTCTCAACCTGCCTTTTTCATCTGTAATGTTGGGCTTTGCTGCCTCCACCGTCCCTGTCAGGCCTCCACTGGTAGTCCAGGCGGTTGTAGTCGCATCCCAGTCGTCGACAACCTTACGTATTCCAGTTGCCACTTTAAGGATTTCCTCCCCAACCTGCGATAATTTGCCATCCTCCGCCCCTTCCGTCTCCAACGCCCCACTGGGAGTGGTGGCTCCTTCTGTAGTTGGGCTTCCTGTTGTAGGTTGGGGTTGTTTGGAAAACCACCAAGCCTCCAAGCTGCCAGCACAGAGAACCAGGAGAAGTGACCACGTCTGGATCCCCGACATGCTGCTGTTTCCCTTCAGCAGAGACCTCCACTGTTTCCCCTGAACGCCACCTGTTAGCCAGCCGCTCAGGAGTTAAATCCACGCTGATCGGGGCCCACTGAGCATCCGCTGAATGGCAGCTCAGACATAAACCGCTCACAGACCCTCCCAGTGAACAGGCCAAAGGGGGAGACCTGAGATGTGATGACAGAAAGTTTCCCCAACACTCTGAAACTCCTCCCTGAACAGCTGGCTCCCACAATCTGCAGAAATAGCTTGAAATATTCAGATTAAGTTCATATTTTCAAACCCAAAACTCAATTTGTCGTATTATTTGAGTTGGTTCTAAACTGGTAAGCAAACCAGGGCAGAGGAAATGCTTGTGAAAGAAGAGAAATGACTTCTCCTCATAAATCTAACATTTTTGCAAAACCTTTTGATATTTCTCCAAATTCTATCTATAAACCTTGATGTGTTTTGTTGGGATTTGACATGATAAGCCAACAAAAGAAAGAAGTTTCTACAAATATCTAAAGCGTGTGGCATGTTTTTACATTTTCAATTTGATGTTTTTCAATAAAATCCTCCAAAAACAACCTACTGTAGAAGTCACCTAATACTTCTACAGCATTAATAAAACAAGCAGTAAAATGACATGACATAACTCTATTAACAGGACAATTATTAGTTGTAAATTTGACATTTGTGACTTTTACTGAAGAGTAGCAAGAAGAAAAACATAAGAAAAGTCCACCCTGCAGTTTCCGGGAAAGGTAAATTGCTCAGACGAAATCAAATGAAACTTTTTATCCCTCGTACAAAACAATTCAATCTCTTTGTGTAAAGAGATTGATTTAAATCTCTATATTTAAATCTCTATATCAGGGGTCCCCAAACTACGGCCCGCGGGCCGCATCCGGCCCGCCACGTCATTTGGTCCGGCCCCCTGAACAATGCCGGATCTGGTCCACCTCCTCGTACCAGAGAGCATTCAGTGTTTTTTTTCATATATTGTATTTTCTGGTTTATATGTGGGGCGCTCTTGAGCAGATGTGAAACTAATTTTCCCTCAATGGAATATATACTAGTCAGTCCCAGTCACCGTTTCGCTCACGGTTTTTTCCATTTGCATTCTGGGTAAGAATCTACCTAAAAGCGCGAATGTGTCGCAACGATTCAACCGAAAATATATACAAATATGCAATGTATTGGTAACATTTTAGAAGTATTCATTTATAAAATAATAATTATTGTGTGTTTTCTAAATAAATGTGTTCTTTTTTTAAGTATTATTTCTTTAAAAGGGAATTTCTTCTGCCACCAGGCTGTGGGAAGAAGCAGGAAAATCCTGCGGAGAAATGAGAGCCGCAGCTGACAAATTACATGACGCTGTGAGAAAACTCTCCACGTGTTGCGACAGAAAACAAATGAGCTGCGGCCGACGAGAAGTGAATCAGGTTCCATAGCAAATAGGACGTGTGCTTCCCTACTCGTTGTTCCACCAGGACAACGAACGCAGAAGAAGTCAGTTTGTGTTGTTCTGGTTGAAATGTGATGAGCAGCACAGCTGGACAGAAACACAGCAGCAGCACGGAGTGATGAATGAGAGGCAGCAGCTGACATCTCACTGTGAAAATCCCCAGACTTCCAGGTTCTCACAGATAAGAGAAGGAGACATCTTCCTCTTCCTCCTCATCGTCATAGAGTCCATGTCGTCTGCCAAGCGGGACGTCCAGCTGTTCCACATTCCAGCTGCTGGACCTCCCACACCCAAAACTGCGTGGCACATTTGTTTATTCAGACAACGCTGCTGCTGTTAGCAGATGTGCAGAACGCTCTCACTGCAAAAATATCTTACCAAGTCATTTTGGTTTCTTGGTACATTTGAAATAAGACAAAACTAACAAACAAGAAACCTTTCACTTACAACAAGACATTTTTATGCCAATGGAACTTGTAAATATTAAGTAATTATTTAAAGTAAGTAAGTATTATTGTGGTATTTAGCAATCTAACTGACCTAAAACATGAGAAGTTTGGTCGGATTTAACTTCAGTGTCAAATAAAGCTGCACGTCTTTTTATTTGTTGTACTGCATTACCCACAACTGAATATTAACTGAACATGAAGTGACTCAGTATTAGAGCTTTGCAGCAATTATCTTGCGTCACAGCAGCTTCTTGTCTCTCTCGTTCCATTCTCATTATTCTCTTCCTTTCTGTGAGGCAGAACAAACACATCGAAAGCACCAGAAACTAGTAAAACAACATCACCATCCATTTCTGTCTGATAACATAATCCCAAATGCTGACTTAACGTTCCCTATTTATGACCCGGAACATCACCAACCACCAGTTCTGATCGCCGTCTGCTGTTGCCCCAGGCGACTAAGCCATAAAAAGTTCAGCTTTTTACTCTCTGCTTGGTTTTTTCCCACTATTCTTTGCACAGGAGCAGATGTGTTTCATCAGGAGTGTTTTCTGGTGGACAATAACACATCTGAGCATGTGAACTGTGTCTGAAACTTGATATGTCATGAAGCTGGTAGAGCTGAGAAACTGCAGCAGAACCTTTAAAATCTTTACAATGAACTTAAAAAGGAAGCTAAAGCTACTACAGTGTGGAAATGCCTAAAACATTATATGCAAAGAATAATTCATATAAAGTCCAAATTACAAGCAAAAAGATTCATATTTTTCACACATGCTGATGCAGCCATACACCACAAGAACCAGCAGATGGCAGCAGAGACTTAGCTCACTGTTAAACTCCATTTATTACTGAATTAACGTCAAAATAAAAGCACTGGAGGAACAGAAATCAGATTTTAACATTATAGTTTCTATTTGTTATTGAAATTTGGGCAGAAACATTGGTAGAAATGTAGTATTTGGTGATTATTTAGCTTTCTTCTAACAGTAAAATGATGTGGGGTACTGGTTTGTTGACTCTGCAGCTCCTCCAGAGTTACCATTGTCTGCATTTCTGATGAATCCCCTCCTTTCTTTGCCTCCAAGTTTAGCTAGGCTTCCATTTGATCCACACGGTGCTTTCCCACTATCAGATAACATCTTCAAAGCCAAACAGGCAAAGTAGAAGAAAGTTTTCCTCAAGGCTACTTTGGCAGAAACTCAGAAATCAACACCCATAACAATCCTGTAGGATGAAGGCGTGAACAAAAGCAACAAGAGGCTGCAAGACGTTTTAATTCCCTCATCCAGCCGCGGGCGCTGCATTCACAGCCGACTGAAAACAGTTGGCTCCTTGTTTGAGCCGCTGAATGAGGACGCCTGTTTTAGAAAGTGCTCAGTTTTCAGGAAAATAAATTAAAAGTTCTTAATGAAATGAGCGACAGAGGAAAATGAAAAGCAACTTTGAAGCTTGTTTTGGTGGTTAGAAGTGAAACTGCTATCTGAACTCGGCAGCATTTCAGCTGCAGGAGCTTCAGGCGATGGGAGCTTGAGGCCCTGCTGCTGCTGCAGGTTTAAATTCCTGTAGGTTGAGGACTGATTATACAGACACAGGAACATTTTCGTTCAGAAAGTTCGATCTGTAGCAAAAAAAACACGTATGCAGTAAAGGAGCCGTTTCATGTATGGAAGATTGAAACCAGATTTTTGTCCTCAAACTAAAAGACGTGGAGAATAAAAGAGACTGTTGTCCATCCAGAACTCTGCCACAGTTTCAGTCTCGTCTTACTAAAACGGCTGTACTGATTTAAAATGATTCATTTTTTAAACATGAATGCACTGAATCACATGTTTATTGGTCACTCTGCACAGATACACCAACAGCTTCACAAAGTTGGTCCAAATGTAAAAACAACGTAATGTGTTCAGTCAGTGCAATAAAGAGTATAACAGCCAATGTAAAACAAACGATCTTGGTCAAACGTGAAAATAAACTGCAACAAGCATGAATTGTAATATATTTTCACCAACTATTGCATAAAATGTGGACTTTCCCCACTGATAAAGGAATATTTAAAAAAAAAATAAAATAAAAATTTAACCAGACAATTCAAGGAGGCTCTGATGCAGGAATGTTTTGATGTATCCATCCTTGAACCTGGACTGAAACGCCGCAGCGAGGAAAAAAAAATGGTGGAACAGAGTATCTACCAAGCATTAGGACAGACTAAATTAAACTTTTCTGCAATGCTGGAGACTCTCGGTGCTTAATAAAATTTATTTAGAGGTTTAAAAAGTGAATTTTGCATGTTATGTCCTTTTTAAAAGTGTTAAGGTACAACAAAACACCATTCTTATTTTGTAATTTTCTCTAAACCTCTTTCTTATTGGTGTCCCACCTGGCTCGTATCTTTGCCCCCTGTTTTATCTATGAACAACAAAACAGAAAACAGTTTCAGAGAGAAATTATCGTACTTACTTTGTAGGTAAAACAGCCAGAATGTACAAAAGCTTTTATTTCACAGGGAATACTACTACTACTCTGTCTGTAACACAGAATTTATTTGAAAGTATTGTTTTTTCCACTTTTTTGCATCTTTGATTGTTTTAGATTGAAACCACACTAATTTCTAATAATTCTCTAAATACTCTAGATTATATTTTGGTTACAATCCTGAAACCAATTGTGCCAGATTTCAGACAGTTTGAAACATCTACCAAGTCCAAACATTGAAATCTCCACCCAGGTGTCCCAGCTATTGAATTAAGCTAAATTTAGCATGAAGCTGTATGCTGTCTGTGGATTTCTGATGATTAGATCTGAAGGAGCGAAGCAGGTGAGAGCAGAAACCACAGCCACCATCGTCACGAGTTCTGCAGCTGGAAAAACAACATTCCCCCATTAGCTGAGATCAGAACGGCCAGGCGGACCTTCACACGGACTGTACATGGAAAGATGAAAGATGTAAAACCAAACATCCTGTCACCCCCTCTGCATGAGGTCACACCTCTGCTGCAACACTTTAACATCTTGCAGCAGGTAGAAAACACCCCCAGCTGCACTGGGGAGACTTTGAAGTTTCACTGGTTGCAGTCTGCAGGGCTAATCACCTGCAGGAGGCAAACGAAGCTGCATGCGAGACACGCTTGGGATAAAAGTGGTAATTACACAAAAATGGGAGTCAACTGCAGATGCGAAAAGTCCCTGAGGTGATGTGGAGCACAAGAGACGCTGCGAGTTTGTTTTAAGAGGCCAAGCTTTCACTATTTACTCAACCTGTCCAGACGCCGCCGCTGCACACACAAGCATATCTACACATGGAAACTATAAGTTAAATCATCTTCTTGAACTTTTCAAATATATATTTTTGACTCAAATGCAGAAAGAGGGAGCATCAAAACTAAAAGTTTGAGAATCGTTAAGCAAATAATCAATAAATCATTGAATTGTGATTTTTACTTTTCTCATTGCTTTTGTTTCAACTTGCCTGTGTTTTTGAAGGACTATTTTGTTTACATAGACTTCATTTAATTCATTTTATGTGTCGTTTTGTTTATTTGTTTTGGATATTTAACATCTTTTTAAAGGTTCATTAGAATTCAAAGTTTATTGATTTTTTAAAATGTGTTCTTATTATGCCGTTAGCATAATATTACTGGAAAATGGTCTCAAAACAACCTTATTGTTTATCACAATAACTGCTGGGACAATTTCATTGTGACTGCAAATAAAAATTAGTTTTGCAAATAACTTTCTCTCTTCATGAGAAAAAGGAAGTGATTTGAATAAACAACTTTGTATTGTAGACAAAAAATACGTCTACAATTTTCTATTCTAAATGTTTTGATAATTAAATAAAAAAAAAAATTGAAA